GAATCGAAAATCTGCTTTTGGCAAACGCAGAGCGGTTCTTAAGATTACCATACTCTTTAAATGCGCTGTGGTAGTCGTTTCCAAGTAAGAGCATACCGGAAAGAAGGTTTTCATTACTTCTCATCCAGTTACGTCTTTGTATGTTCGCGTCCTGCTTAACGTTGCTGCCCAAAGTATCAGCATGCGCAATCTGTACGACTATCGGTCAGCTGTCCGCTGGCTTTCGGAGACTTTACCACCCAACAATGGCACACAGATCCCCGGATGAGACGTTTCTTACCGTCACGGACAGACTGGATCTTATTATGGCGTGACAGTTTGTGTGTCTGGGTAACGAGCTGAACTATACTGGGAGTATCTCTGTAACGCTCGCACAATCTCATACCAGTTTGCCCAATGGCTAAACACAATCTTGTGGTTGGTAATTTGTTGAAATATTGGTAGCTCGGGTGAGTTTATTGGTTGTTGATCAGGTTAGCTCGCCCACCGGCGCACTAAAGATGTCTGCTGGTATGGTGACAAAACGTTTGCTAGCCAATTGCCAAGCTAGATGAACAGATTAACAGCTTGTATCAGGGCCAAGTGGAATCCATAGATACTCTAGACTGTGTGGAGCATTCTCGAATGCTGATGTACTGGTCAATTTCGTTGGTTGTCCGTAGTTCTGGTCTCATCCAAGCACTGCTGACTTTTTGAAATTGCCGGTGGGTTAGAACCCTCTTGTTTTAAATGGCTAAGTTGTCACACCGTCCTACATTACTTGATGGTTTGACGAAGGCGAAGTAGTACCTTTATTATGAGCGCTATTTCGACCTGAGAGTTTCCAGGTTACTCATGTTTACCTGACTAAATGAGAAACTAGGCATTCGTGACATCTCACCTCTTTCCGCATATGGTATTTGGGCGTGGAGGTGATCGACGGAATTATTCAAGGAGTTGATCGGCTGTATAATCGGGATCTAGTTACCAAGTGTAATGAGTTCTTATTTAGAGGGCAATTTTGTTTTTCACGTTTAGAAGCTTCATTCATCTTCGGCGATTCGTAAAGATGAATCCGAGATGTTCGGGATTGTCGTTATCGGTGAGAAAGAAAGTGGAGGATGCATTACAATTCGGATGTTTCGGCGGCCTAAACCATCATTTTAGTGACCATTTACTTCGTCCATCAACGATGACTGGTAAACAAATGAGAACTGTCGTGAAAATACAAATAACTGTCACAGAAATGCTAAAATATACCACTCACGTAATTCGCTGTTACATCGAGATAAGCTTACATTACAGATTAGCCATGTTTAACCAAAGAAAATGAACTACAACAACAGCCATTATATCTGGTGTCATTTTTTGAGGTTCCAAATTCAGTTCCAGTTCCAAATCAGCTAGAGCTTGAGTGCCTGACACAGAGAATGAAGGACTCACCAGGTGAAGTAAAGTGTGAAAATCGACGTCTTGATAGCTTTATTTGCAACCATAACGTCCAAGACCGTTGGAATGTCAGGCTGTTCGCCCACTTTTGCTAAAGCAAGAGCTCCGCTTATTTCATCATCCTCTTGTGGAGGTGGTGCATCCTCAGCCAATCCGAAAGGGACTATTCCAATCCGGGTTCCATCTATCTAAAAGGGTTCGCCAAGACCGATTCTCAGTTTATTATTCTCACTTACCGACATGTGATCCTTGACTATTTTACCCGTAACAAAGCTTCCATAGTACATGATCGTGAAGGGCACATTTAGCTGTGTGGAACTCCTGCCTGGATAGGGAAAGTAAGTGTAGGTGTGGGGTAGCCCCCTTTTCGGAACCCAAGATAAGGCGATCGTAGTATCCAAAAAAACATTGAATTCCTGGGCTGGAGTCCCAAGAGAGATTCTACCATAAAGCGTAGTCTAGCAGAGAGATTGCCTGTGAATTTTTAATCAAGCGCTTACATCATCGGAACTATAAAGCTTATGAATGAGCGATCTTTTCCTAGTATGTTTCGAACCAGAGCGGTCGTAGTAGAGGTTGATTCTGAAGTAAATAGTGTTGTGTTTTTATGATGGTGGACAAACTTCAGTGCGTCGACCGTGTAGATAATCCAAATGACTGTAATCTTCAATGAAAGTTGCATGTTCACGTAGGTGTAGTGATGAGAAAGTTGGACAGCGAAACAACTCCCTGGTTTGAAACCGACCTATTTAAGTAACGTTTGCAATTCTTTTCTGCTTTATGGTTGGCTAACAACCAAGCAAAAAATAAGTCGCTGACGATGGATCAATTAAACCGAGGTGCAGAAATATATCTAAAGAATATTGGTAAGGTGTTGAAATATTGGTAGGTCGGGTGAGTTTACTGGTTGCTGTTTATCTGTTCGCCGAGCTCGGCTATTGGCTTGCAAACGGTTCGTTACCGTACGGGGAGGCACCGTCAGCGCGCAATTGGGTGGGTCCCACCCAGATCAACTGCCACCTGATCAACAACCAATACCTGAAGAATATCGAGGATCACACGACTCTGTGGGGTGCAGTAGTGCCTCACATATTAAGGCTGGAAAGCCTTCGCATGACAATAAGTAATGCATCATCTCTCTCCTGACCAAAAATACGATAACTGTCCTTAAATAGCTACACAGCTTTGCGCACAAAACTAGTTGCTCACTACAATGACTTGGAATGCAAACATACACACTTTACAAAGTTATATGAGATCACGAATCGGACCTCTATACGCCGTTAACATCCCAAAATTATTTTACGCTAGGCTGAAGTAGGAAAGGGGAAAATGTTTGTTTGACGGTGCTCAGAATCCCACTGCCTTGGCCACTTGGGCAGAGTAAAGCAGTCCAAGGCTTAAGCTTAAAATAAGTTGCCATGTATAGATATAAAGAGTTAAGGAACTAAGAGTTTCTAGACTATCGCCATCTTTATCACAGGGAGAAATTATTGCATCCGCAAACCGGGAAAAGAGTACGTTCAATTGAAACATAAAAGTCATTTAAGAAGAGCTTGATGAATAATCGGTAGTTTTTATTTGCGCAACACAAAAGCTTCATCAGGCCAAGTGAGCAGGTCACCAAATTTACCAGGTTATAAAACAGACGGGGAACCGATCACTGAGTCCTCTTCAGATTATCACACTAGATGAGTGTTGAGTCTCAATTAACGGCCCTTGTCGGTTAGTGTGGTTGTCAAAATCTCGCTTTGGTGGATTTGGGAAGTTTCAAATTAATTCTGATCGTGTTTGTTTAGTTAATCTTCCACTTCAGGGTGCTTCAATTGATGGTTCACCTCGGTTGCTACTGATAGATTTTCCTTGGTCTTCATGGGGTTGTGAGTGCTCCAGTTTAGTTTGAGGTGAAGTTGAGGTCAAGTGGAATTCAGATGATGACCGTCTGATGACCGCACAACAACACGTGTCAGCTCGACTGATCCAACACCGTTCTCCACACGCTTGCCAGTTCCACGCCTTGCATTCTGTTAACACTGGGGTGCTTGATGAAGCTTTTGTGTCAAAGGTGAGACGTTGCCCAAATCAAAACTACTGATTATTTATCAAGCTCTTCTGAAACGATGACTACTCAGTCGGTTCTAGAACTTTTCCAATTGACTGGGACCCAAACATTTGTAAATTTCACGTTTGCCCGTAGTTTCGAGTAGTTAGCTGGGTGTGTACGGCCCATGAAAGCTATTTGTACCCCTCTTATTTCGGGAAACGTATAATCGTAAATCACGGTGTTCTTATTTTCCCAAGTTCCGTCTGAGCTTGCTCAACTGAGTATGTCCATGTTTCCAATCAGTTCTTACGAAGTTCTCTTACTTTATTATTATTAATTTCTATCACATCATAGTGAAAATATTAGAGCCTCTGTTGCATATTGGCCGGTGTCAAGATATCCTAAGACCAGTTTATTGATTTAAATGATTACTGCCATTGATCTCCATAGGATTCAAGCTTCAAGCACGGATATTTCAAGATAATACTGCAACGCTCACCATTGTGAAATGAGTAGCGTAATAGAGTACTCTATCCTTCAACTGTATGAAGGTGACACTTCACTGCACCAGGAAGTTTTTTAAATACGGTTTTTCAGCGCACGGTACGTATCTTTGTTGTTGTCAAATCCGCAGAGCCTGTTCGCTTTGGGCTGAGATAAAGTATGCAAAGAGGGCAAACTGCATGAAGTCCACTGTTTGATAAAAAAAATATCACTTGTTTCATCGAGCAAAATGTATATGAGTAAACACTTGTCAGCCTTTGAGTCAGGTTCAGTAAAGAACCGATAATCGATGTAATCCAGTAAAATCGCGCCTACTTCTCGAGTTACCGGCTGTGCACATCACAGGCCTCGGAAATAGCTATCTTGAATGATATCTCACAACAACAGATAGCAGATTCTTCATTTTATCGCAGATTAGCTCCTAATCGATTCCCCATGGTTGTGAATTTTTTTACCAAAGATGCGAAATGAAATGCGAGATAGGTCACAATAGAGCTTGGAGTAGAAAATGTGTTTCAGAATTGCACTGTTATCTTCCTTTGAGAATTTGAACAATAAAACGGAAATATTGAGATTGTATATTCACCCATTTTATTACGAATGCAATCATAAAACATCGAGCCTTGGCTAATCGCTCCACCTATTAGCGGGTTCCACTATTTGGTTTGACCACTAGCTGCTTCCATGAGAAAAGAGTTATACAAGTCCACCTATAACTAACTAGCACAACAGAGTAGTCAACCGAATCTAAGGAGCATCTTCTGGCACATTCGAATACCATTTCACCGCTTTTGATTCATCATGCTCTCAAAACCCCAACACTGAACTGGACAGTTTGACTGACTCGACGCAGTCTAGCTGATGTGGAAAGAGTACACAAAATCCGAAACCTGGCAGACCGGCGAAGTTCTCCAGGAAACGTTAAGTGAACGACTGAGTGTCAGTTTTTTGGACGGATAAAGATAACGAAACGGGGGAGTGTCAGTGCTGTTGAGTGAAGCGAACGAGCTTACTGTTTCATTCAGCGGAGGGGCCCTTATTCGCTTTGCCGTTTTGGAAGTCGCTTCCCGATCGGAGACTTCAGAAAAAGGATAGTTCTTGTAATCTTTTGAGCTTTGAGTAGACAAATTCCTGGAGAACTAAGTGTGGCGCAAACAAACAGTATTTGTAGAGGCTTTTCGAGCAGTTTGGGCCCACTGGTATAATAATCTAGTTCGGCCTTTTAAACATTTAATGTAGTTTGCCAAACGGTTGCACCACTGAACTTTTCAAAGTTCCCCGGATTTAGACAAGATAGTCTGGATAAGGTCTCCAATTCTTGTATCTGGGTTCTGCAACTTTGATGGTATTCTAATCTGCTATACGAGTAAGTCAATTAGATTCAGATATGCTTATTTTCATTTTTTATTCCTCTACCAAGTTCCCGCGCAGTTCAACGCTATAGTTGCATCCAATGTGGCCCTTGGGTGAACACGAACAGTCTAGCGGCTTGTTTCATGTAATCCTTAAGGCGTTTGACTTTCATTCACGCAGTGAATTAGTATTCGGTGAGTGGTTCAACATGATGTTGAGTAACTGCAATGAAGCAACGCACGAATGCCTTTATTTTCCAAACTAACTATCCGAACATATCGCTGATTCACTCTGACATACCGTGAGATTTTCAGTGAAATATCACAATGACGGATGGTTCGAAAGCATGTTAACTTGTCACGATATGAATATAAAAACAACATAGAATGAGGTTACGAGATCTTCAATGCTCACACTTTCAGCCTACAATTCGGACATTACTTGTAAACTATTATTTTTAACTCTAGTAATCAGATTTCTTGGAGAGGACCTTTGGATTCCTGTTGGACCACCTTGTGAGTCTTATGCAGAATACCGGGCCAAAGTACCACTGATCACGGTGATCTTCCGAAAAGTTCGTCCGTTTGTGTCTTGTCGGAAGGTCTCTCTTGCTGAGATATCCGTGCTCGGGAAGATCGGCAAGTCCTTGGTACTTTGTGATAACTTAGAGGTCCTTTGTTCAAGTTGTTAACAAGTGAAGAGGTGTAATATCTGTTTTCTTGTGAGCTAGTTTGTGGTATACCTTCCTCACGCTGGGAGATAAACTTACGAATTCTATTGTTGACAAATTGCTCATTTTTGAACCATAATCCAAAAAGTTATCATGTATTGTGAGTCTAATTTGAAATGCTGCTACTGGTCTACCGTAATTTGTCGCGCGCTGCCTAATCTTCGTCCACACTGTTTGATTGAGCAAAACCTCTGTTATATACATACATGTGAAATATTCCTTATGTTTGTCTTACAGCATAATAAACTGTCCATTGGAGATTACAATTTAGTGGAGAAAATGGGTAGACGGGTTGTCGGGAATTTGATAGGTTGGTGCCTATTAATTTCCCAAATGGTCGAGATGGGTTTAGTAAAAGGATCGTAATAAATACGCGGTCCAAAAGCGGTATTAGTTTCCAACGACAAAACTTGATTTAAATAGTTTGTTCATACGAAACCTTTATGATGTAAGTCATACCGGCGTGTTGTAACTTATTAGCGTCTGAATGTGGAATAAGTCACCTGGTGGTGACCGCTGTCAACCGAGCTGTCTACCGAACTACGAATTACTAGTACATTATTATCGGATCACCACAAACATCGTTTTCAGTCATTTGATCTAACTCGAGCCCACATTTTGAAAGGCTGACTTTGAGAAAACTTCTGAAGGGACCA